CCAAGGGGCGCCGCTGCCAACGGGTGCTCGGAGCGTAGATGTTCACCCAGGTGTTGCTATTCTTCAGGGGGAGAGGGTGAAAGAGGGGGTCTGCAACAGGGGGTCTTCAATGTGGGCTGAATGGCCCATGTATGCTCAATGTATCGCTCATGTATGTGATCGGGTACGATTGGCATCCAATGCTGGCGGTCATTGATGGCCAGTCATTCGTGCCCGCGCGTTGCCCGCGCGGGCACGCGCGCCGTCCATCCATTATCGTTCATGCGTGCGGGCGTTCTTGCATATTGCGTGCGCGCCGGCGAAGTGGAGTGCAAGTGTGTCTTGATTGTGCGGTTGATGATCGCGTATGTTCCCAAACGATGACTTCTCGACCCCCAAGACAGATTTGGATTGGGCCCCGCGATTCTCCCAAAATGTGAATTCACATTTTCCTTTTTCCCAAAATGTGAATTCACATATTCCTTATTCCCAAAATGTGAATTCACATTCTGGCCCCTTCATAAAAAGAATCCTACACAAAATTACAAAATGTGAATTCACATTTTCCTTTTTCCCAAAATGTGAATTCACATTTTCCTTTTTCCCAAAATGTGAATTCACATGTTGCTTTTCCCCACAATGTGAATTCTTTACGCTTCGCGTATCCCCACCAGCCCATCTCTCAACAGCAACTCTTGCGAAGCGTGCCGACAGTCGTGTTTTTCAGGCGTGTTTCCGCTTGCCCCCGCATATCTCCCCTGTTACTCCTTCCTCCCGCCTCCTTGTACATCCTCCTTGTGGGGGGAGCGGGAGAAGGACGAGGCGGAGGAGGAGGGAGAGAAAGCGCGCCTCGTGGTTTGAGTCGTTTGGGGTTTCTCGTCCTGGTGTGAGTCGTTCGGGCCCTTCTTCCTGGTGTGAGTCGTTCGGGCTCTTCGTGGTGTGAGTCGTTCGGGCTCTTCGTCCTGGTGTGAGTCGTTCGGGCTTCTCGTGGTGTGAGTTGTTCGGGCCCCTCGTCCTGGTGTGAGTCGTTCGGGCCCCTCCTCCTGGTGTGACTCGTTCGGGCTCCTCGTGGTGTGAGTCGTTCGGGGCCCTCGTCGTGGTGTGAGTCGTTCGGGCTCCTCGTGGTGGCTTGTATGAGCGCTGCCCCTCCTCCTGGTGTGACTCGTTCGGGCTCCTCGTGGTGTGAGTCGTTCGAGGCCCGCGTCGTGGTGTGAGTCGTTCGGGCTCCTCGTGGTGTGAGTCGTTCGGGCGCCTCGTCCTGGTGTAAGTCGTTCGGGAACCTCCTTGTGGTGTGAGTCGTTCGGGCTCTTCGTGGTGTGAGTCGTTCGGGCCCCTCGTCCTGGTGTGAGTCGTTCGGGCTCCTCGTGGGGCCTCTTGGGGGCCTCTTGGAGCCTCTTGGGGCCTCTTGGGGGCATCTTGGGGGCCTCTTGGGGACCTCTTGGGGGCCTCTTGGGGGCTCTGGGGGCCTCGTGGGGGGCTCTTGGGAGCCTGTTGGGGGCCTCTGGGTGCCTCTTGGGGGCCTCTTGGGGGCCTCTTGGAGGCCGCTTGGGAGCCTCCTGGGGACATCAAGGCGCCATCTTGGGGCCTTTTGCGACCTCCTCAGAAGCGCAAATGAGCGCTACCCCCTGAGAAAGACAACATGAGCCCAACACCTTCGTAAAATCCATGATTCTGAGAACAAGGAAGAGCAGCGCTGCCCCCTCAGAAGGCCAAAATGGGGCCAAAACCGTAGTAAAATCAATGATTTTGGCGTCACAGAAGAGGAGAGGGTTTTTTCTCTATCCCCCCGTCGGGGCGAGAATCCTCGTGAGGGTCGTCGTTTTTTGGCCCTCCCAGGCGTCGAAAAGGACCCCCCTGACCACCCGCGGGGCGCCCTCTCCAGGTCCAGGGGGAGGGGGTAGGGGGAGGGGTAAACCCCTCCCCGAAGGGGAAGAAGGGGGGTTGAGGACAGAGAGGGCTCCCTAAACCACTCACGCCCAAAGGGCTGGTGGGATTTTGAGACTGTGGGCCATCTGGGGGCCTCTTGGGGCCATCTGGAGGACCTCTGGGGGCCCTCTTGGGGGGCTTGTATAAGCGCTGCCCCTCGTCCTGGTGTGACTCGTTCGGGCTCCACGTGGTGTACGTCGTTCGAGGCCCGCGTCGTGGTGTGAGTCCGTTCGGGCTCCTCGTGGCGTGAGTCGTTCGAGGCCCGCGTCGTGGTGTGAGTCGTTCGGGGTCCTCGTGGTGTGAGTCGGTCGGGCGCCTTGTCCTGGTATGAGTCGTTCGGGCCCCTCGTTGTGGTGTGAGTCGTTCGGGCTCTTCGTGGTGTGAGTCGTTCGGGCCCCTCGTCCTGGTGTGAGTCGTTCGGGCTCCTCGTGGGGCCTCTTGGAAGCCTCTTGGGGGCCTCTTGGGGCCTCCTGGGCGCCTCTTGGGAGACTCTTGGGGGCCTCTTGGGAGTCTCTTCGGGGCTCTGGGGGCCTCGTGGGAGCCTCTGGGGGGCCTCGTGGGAGCCTCTGGATGCCTCTTGGGGGCCTCTTGGGAGCCTCTTGGAGGCCTCTTGGGAGCCTCCTTGGGGCATCTTGGGGCCTCTTGGGGGCTTCTTGCGACCTCCTCAGAAGCGCAAATGAGCGCTACCCCCTCAGAAGGACAAAATGAGCCCAAAACCTACGTAAAATCAATAATTTTGAGACTGTGGGCCATCTGGTGGCCTCTTGGGGCCATCTGGAGGACCTCTGGGGGCCCTCTTGGGGGGCTTGTATAAGCGCTGCCCCTCGTCCTGGTGTGACTCGTTCGGGCTCCACGTGGTGTACGTCGTTCGAGGCCCGCGTCGTGGTGTGAGTCCTTCGGGCTCCTCGTGGTGTGAGTCGGTCGGGCGCCTCGTCCTGGTATGAGTCGTGCGGGTCCCTCGTTGTCGTTCGGGCTCTTCGTGGTGTGAGTCGTTCGGGCCCCTCGTCCTGGTGTGAGTCGTTCGGGCTCCTCGTGGGGCCTCTTGGGAGCCTCTTGAGGACCTCTTGGGGCCTCTTGGGCGCCTCTTGGGAGACTCTTGGGGGCCTCTTGGGAGCCTCTTGGAAGCCCTGGGGGCCTCGTGGGAGCCTCTGGGGGGCCTCTTGGGAGCCTCTGGAGGCCTCTTGGGGGCGGCTTGGGAGCCTCTTGGAGGCCTCTTGGGAGCCTCCTGGGGGCATCTTGGGGCCTCTTGGTGGCTTCTTGCGATCTCCTCAGAAGCGCAAATGAGCGCTACCCCCTCAGAAGGACAAAATGAGCCCAAAACCTTCGTAGAATCAATACTTTTGAGACTGTGGGCCATCTGGGGACCTCTTGGGGCCATCTGGTGGACCTCTGGGGGCCCTCTTGGGGGGCTTGTATGAGCGCTGCCCCTCCTCCTGGTGTGACTCGATCGGGCTCCCCGTGGTGTGAGTCGTTCGAGGCCCGCGTCGTGGTGTGAGTCGTTCGGGCTCCTCGTGGTCCGAGTCGGTCGGGCGCCTCGTCCTGGTATGAGTCGTTCGGGCCCCTCGTTGTGGTGTGAGTCGTTCGAGCTCTTCGTGGTGTGAGTCGTTCGGGCCCCTCGTCCTGGTGTGAGTCGTTCGGGCTCCTGGTGGGGCCTCTTGGGGGCCTCCTGGGGCCTCTTGGGCGCCTCTTCGGAGACTCTTGGGAGCCTCTTGGGAGCCTCTTGGGGGCTCTGGGGGCCTCGTGGGAGCCTCTGGGGTGCCTCGTGGGAGCCTCTGGAGGCATCTTGGGGGCGGCTTGGGAGCCTCTTGGAGGCCTCTTGGGAGCCTCCTGGGGGCATCTTGGGGCCTCTTGGGGGCTTCTTGCGACCTCCTGAGAAGCGCAAATGAGCGCTACCCCCTCAGAAGGACAAAATGAGCCCAGCACCTTCGTAAAATCAATAATTGTGAGAAGAAGGAGCAGCAGCGCTGGCCCCTCATACGGCCAAAATGGGGCCAACACCGTAGTAAAATCAGGGATTTTGGTTTCAAAGAAGAGGAGAGCATTGTTTCGTGGTCCCCCCGACGGGGCCAGAATCCTCGTGAGGGTCGTCGTTTTTCGGCCCTCCCAGGAGTCGAACAAGACCCCTCTGACCACCCGCGGGACGACCTCTCCAGGCCCAGGGGGAGGGGGTAGGGGGAGGGGTAAACCCCTCCCCGAAGGGGAAGCAGGGGGGTTGGGGGGTTGAGGACAGAGAGAGCTCTCTAAACCACTCACGCCCAAAGGGCTGGTGGGATTCACATTTTGCCCTGGCCTTCAAGATCCCCCAAACTGAGGCGCAGTGTTCCGCATGTCAGATTGGCTGGGCAGATTTCGACACTCACCTGACCGCTTTCGTGTGTTCCAGCCATTTCTTTTTGCGCCCTTAGCGCGCGTTGCCTTCGTCGCCTTTCCCGAGCCCCCAGCCCCCTTGCTTCCTTTCCCCATCAAGTCTCGCGCGCGGGTGCAGGCGGGGGGGTTCAATTAGTTCCCCCGCCGAACACAGCAATCGAGGATGTATCGCCCATTCATGGCCTTGAAAAACATCATTGCCGGGACCCTGCGCCCGACCCCCATTTTCACCCTCCAAAGAGAGAGAGAGAGAGGGAAAGAGAGAGAGAGAGGGAGAAAACGAGAGAGGGAGAGATAAACCTATACACATATATATATATATATATACATATATATATAGATGTAGATATATGTGTTTATACACAGATCAGTATCGTGTAAACGACCCCCCTCCCCATCCCCATCCCCTTCGAGACCCTTACTAAATAATCCCCCCAGTTGGGGATACACCCCTCAAATCCCGAAGGATGCAGCCTATATCCTTATTTTGGGGGGTAAATCGGTCAGTGGGGCCCAGGCCACGCCGCTTTGATAGGGATCGGATAAGCGATGCTCAAGAGAGAGAGAGCGAGAGAGAGAGAAAGAAAGAAAGAAAGAGAGAGCGAGAGAGTGCAAGAGAGCAGGAGGCTGCACCAGCCCCTGGCCCACCAGGGAAAGGGGTGCCAAACTCTTCCCGTCTCGTCGCCGCGCCCGTTGTCTTGCGCTCCTCGGGCCTTCATCGCACCGAGGTCCTCGTCAACCTCAGCGCGGTCACAAGCCTCCTGTTCAGCCCTGTGATCGGCAGATGGTCTGGGCCTGCAGGTGAGCCTTTCTGGGCCCCTGTGCACTAGCTGCCCATGGGCCCCTGTGCACTAGCTGCCCATGCGGGCAGGCCAGGGCGAGAGCTGCCGGATTTGGGGTCTTGCGGTGAAGTTTGTATGATGCCGCTATGCCCCCCCATTCCCTTTCCTCTCTGGTGTCGCTCCGAGGGGGGAACCGAGAGAGCGTAGGCCTTCTCAGAATGGCGGCGGGGCTTCTCAGAAACCCTCTGAACCTTCTGAAAAGCCGTCCGTGTTTTCGGAGAAGGATGAAACTTTTCAGAAGGCGGGAGGCCTTCTTAACCTTTGACAACGGCCGCCCCCTCTTCTTTCGACCCTCTCCCATCGACGAGGAGGAAGAACTCTCGTCACCTCCCCTGACGACCGCCTGGACACCATTCTAACCAGCTCTTCGGGTTGCGTCCAGCCGCAGCCACCAGCAGCCCCCCCCTCCCCCGGAGCGACCAACAGAAGAACCGAAAACGCGTCAGCATGCTCACTTCCCCTCCCCTCCTTCCCAGGCCCTCGCTGCATCGGAGACGGTGGGTGAGCCTGGGGCGCAACGGAGCACCCCCCCGTGGCACATCGGTTTCTGCTGCTCCCTCGTGCCGCGGGGGGCGGGCAAGGCGACACTGCGTGCGCGGGCGAGGGGAGTGGATCCCGCTGGGGCGAAGTCAAAGCACGTGATTCCCTTCCGCCCGCGGCTGTCCCGCGGCTGGCCCGACGGTTGTCTTGACGGTTGTCCCGACGGTTGTCCCGATGGTTCCCCCGATAGTTCTCTCCCAAAGGTTCTCCTCCAGGTGATTCTCCCGATGGTTCTCCCGATGAGTGTCCCGGTGTTTGTCCCGATGGTTGTCCCAGTGGTTGCCCCGATGAGTGTCCCGATGGTTGTCCAGACGGTTGTCCCGATTGTTGTCCCGACGGCTGTCCCGATGGTTGGTGCTGCGTTGGCTCCATCCTCCCAACCTCCTTGTCTGCCTTCGGTCCGTCTTATACGGTCTTATACGTGCAAATGCGCATACACATAAATACATAGGGGGCCACATGCGAACCCTACCCCTACCCCCCACAATTTCTGAGGGGGAGGGTGTGGTTAACTTCGCTCGGGAACTTCCGAACGAAGTGAACCCCACCCTCCCCCGTAGAAGTCGTGGGGGGTAGGGGTAGGGTTCGCATGTGGCCCCCTGATACAGGCATCAAGAAGCGGGACCCCAAGGAGTCCCGATCCGTCCCACGGGAGCCAGGGCTATATGTCCTTGGCCTGTTTTTCCTTGGCGGCCCTCGGTGCCCTTCGAGAGCCGCTTTCTTTCGGCTCTCGGAGGCCGAAGCTCACAGGACAGGACGCAAGACGCCCTGGACTTCTCAAGACGCCGGAGGTATGGGATCTCCTCTCGACCCCCTCGACATTGGCGTACGAGTTTGCCGGTGCAGCCCCCGGTCGATTTCGGTAATCGTTGTGGGTGTTGTTCGGCACACTCGATTGTTCTCGGACGTCGATCCGCGATGCCGCCCAGGTGCGCTCGGAGTGCGGCGCTGTGCGCACCCGTGGGGTGCCCCAGCAAGTTGCGCAGGATGTTTTGCTGAGGGGGGTCGTGCCAATGCTCGACTTCTCTTGGCATCGCTGAGACGCGTGCGTCTGTTTTTCCCGGCGAGGACCATCGAGGACCATCGAGGAGCATCCTCGCCGATCCACGATTCGGGCAATTCCGATGGGCGGCGGGAGTTGGGTTCGGCATTCGTCGCACACGTGGCGAACTCCGCATCCCACCCCCGCCGCCCATCGATTCGGCAGAATCGATGGTTGCTGGGGGTACAGTCGGGGCCCTGAAGAAGGGACTCGGCTCCGTGTTCCTTAGTTGCTTTACAGTGCTCCTTGGGTTTGCCTGAGATCTTCCATGAACATCGGAGCTTAACGTCTGGGAAAAAGGGGCCTCGTTCCCTATTTTTCGTTCCTTAGGTCAACGCCCCGACTGTAGGGGGCCGGATGTCGCCACCCGCTGTCCGTAGCCTCGCGGATGGTGGCCTCGAGGCGCGGTCCCACGGAGGCGTTCCCAGCACGGGGCACCCGCGCAGAGCCGGCCGGCGTCCAGCGGCCCAGGCGCCGGGGGGGCCCCGGCCGCGGGGCCGTGCCTGGGCTGCGGGCCAGGATCCTGTCAGGAGGGGAAAGAACACACAGAGACAATTGATCCTCCATTATCATCGGGGCTGGACAGACCTCCTACCCTGACACGTCGATGAAGGAATTGGCCGTTCTCGGTTCGCGAGAGGGCGTCGCGGCCGTCATTTTTGCGGGTCCAGGTCCGTCGGTTTCGGTCCCAGGCCGTTTTCACTAAAGGGAGGTTTACTAAAGGGAGGTTTGTCCACCGCCGATATCAGGAAATATTGGAAAATATGGGAAGTGGGGGGAAAGACAAAAAACCCAAAAATATTGGGAAAGATGGGGAATCATTTTAGTTGTGTGCATTTGAGTGTGTGTGTGTGTATATGTCCTGGGGCCCCTTCAGCCTGTTCGGCGGCGAGATCCGATACCTACCCCCGCCCCCCCTCGACTCAGGAGAATCGATGGTTGGCGGGGGGTAGTGTGCGGGCGTCGCCACCGGCAGGTGCAGGAGGGGGGTTGTTTGGCATCGCTCGGACGTGTGCATTTTTCCTTCGGCGAGGACCATCGAGGAGCATTCTTGATCATTTGGCGAAAAAACCACGCACGAAACCGAAAAAAACACAGGGAATGGACGTCCGAGCGATGGCCAGGTTGGGGAAAGGGGGAGAGGGCTCCTGAGAGGCGCGGGCCTGGTCTACAGATGTAGGTCTGGCGCCCTCCGAGAAGCAGCCTCCTTCTCTCAGAACCCTCCCCCCTCAACGTTTCGTTCAATTTTGCAGCCCCCCCTTGTAGCAGCACCCGATTTCCCCCCTGCCCGTGCCGGTGTTGTGCGTGCCGCCGAGGGGTGCATCTTTGGCTATCCTGGGGGTGCCTCTTGGGGGGCCCCCATCTTGAGCGGCTTTGGGGGGCATCTGGGGGGGGGGGCTCTTAGCAGGAGGGGAAACACACACAGACACAATTGTTCGTCGATCCCCAGGAAAGTAGAGGTGATATGGGAATTCGGGGGAAGGACGGAAACCCAGGACATATGCGAAAATATAGGAAATCCCGTGCATTTATTTATGCGTTTTTGGGCCCTTTATCTCAGGGGGGGCCATATCCTGGCATTCCCACGGCAGGGCTCCGAGGTCCTTGCGCTGTATACCACCTTCCGGGGCGGACAGCATTGACCAAGTATTGGGTTATTCGGCGTTGGTTTCGGGCAGATTCGCGCGAGAACCCCCGGGAGATCCGGCCATTGGGGCCCTGGACCCTTGAGAATCTACAATGATATTGAGTTCGGTGCTCTCCCTGTAGCACTGTGGCGGGACTGTGTCCCGCCTCAGGAGGCCGAGCTCAGGGAGGGTCGCCGCGCCGGCCGCGGCCGCTCGGGGGGTGCGAACGGTATCCCTGGCCGCAGGTGTGGCCCTGCGTTTTGCTCCACTACCGGACTCAGCAGCAACGAGAGGGGGGATAGTCATAGGACCCCCAATCGCCCATTGATCGCCGACAGGGGCCCGATAGCTCCAACCTGCCCAGGAAGGTGCGGATTCACTATCGGAGGCCTATCGCCGATCTATCGGCGATGCATCGCCGATTCCAGGTCGATGCATCCCCCCCCCCTATGCCAGTCCCCCCCGATCGTTGCCCCTCAAAGACAGGAATAACTGGGGCCCTCGGGGCCCCGTGAGGGGTGCTCCTGAGGCCTTGGGGACTTCCCTGGAAATCCTGGGGACACCCTGGGCCAGGGGCACCTCTGTTTTTGTGGGATGCTCGTTCAGGGGACCTCCATAGGGGCCCGCTTCCTTGACGGATCTGCCTGGCAGTAGCTTGCCTCTGCCTCGGCTCGAGTTCGACGCACGTTCGACGCATGAGTGGAGCGAGTGGCTCCAGGGATGCCCCCGGAGCCAGCATCTGACCCCTGGCAGCGCCCGCGCCCCCTGGCCGACTGGCCCTGACCTGCCCTGCCCGTGGCGCTGCCCGCCCCGACGCACGCGCGCGCGCGCGACCGGGGCGGACCGCGCCCGAGCCCGCGCCAGCGGGCCAGCGGCGGCCGACGACCTTCGTCCTCCTCCTCCCTCCCTCCTCCCCTCCCTCCCTCCATCCTCCCTCCCTCCTCCTCCTCCTCTCCTCCTCCTCCTCTCCTCTTCCTCCTCCTCCTCCCCCTCCTCTCCTCCTCCTCCTCCTCCTTCCTCCTCCTCCTCCTCTCCTCCTCCTCCTCCTCCTCCCCACCTCCTCCCTCTTCCTCCCCATCTCCGCTCAAGCAATTTGGGCTCAGAACTGCCAGGGCAGCCCAGCGTCCAGCACTGTACCTCATCGTGGTGCTCGGGTGGCACCGTGATGCCGAGTTCCGCGTTGTGGTCCTGCGGTGACTAGACCATGCATATGTTCCCAGTCACGGCGCAGAAGATGCTTGGAGCAAGTGTATGAGTTGCCAGGCTTGGGATCGGAACGATCGTCTCGTTGCTAGGCAGTGTCAGTGCGGACGGTGCGGCAAGGAGGTCAAGATGCACAAAGGAGGAGGAGGAGGAGGAGGAGCAGGAGCAGGAGCAGGAGGCGGAGTAGGGGGAGGAGCAGGAGGCGGAGGAGGGGAGGAGGCGGGAGAGGAGGAGAGGAGGAGGGAGGAGGAGGGAGGAGGAGGAGGAGGAGGAGGAGGAGGAGGAGGAGGAGGAGGAGGAGGAGGAGGAGGAGGAGGAGGAGGAGGAGGAGGAGGAGGAGGAGGAGGAGGAGGAGGAGGAGGAGGAGGAGGAGGTGAGGAGGAGGAGGAGGGGAGGAGGAGGGAGGGAGGGAGGAGGGAGGGAGGGAGGGAGGGAGGGAGGGAGGGAGGGAGGGAGGGAGGGAGGGAGGGAGGGAGGGAGGGAGGGAGGGAGGGAGGGAGGGAGGGAGGGAGGGAGGGAGGGGGAGGGAGGAGGGAGGGAGGAGGGAGGGAGGGAGGGAGGGAGGGAGGGGGAGGAGGGGAGGAGGGAGGGAGGGGGGGAGGGAGGGAGGGGGGGAGGGAGGGAGGAGGGAGGGAGGGATGGGAGGGAGGAGGGAGGAGGGAGGGAGGGAGGGAGGGAGGGAGGGAGGGAGGGAGGGAGGGAAGGGGAGGGGAAGGAAGGAAGGAAGGAGGAGGGAGGGAGGAGGAGGAGGAGGAGGAGGAGGAGGAAGGAAGGAAGGAAGGAAGGAAGGAAGGAAGGAAGGAAGGAAGGAAGGGAGGGAGGAGGAGGAGGAGGAGGAGGAGGACGACGAGGAGGAGGAGGAGGAGGAGGCGCCAGCGACGAAGGTGACAAGCCCAGGGGCGGACGGCTGTCAGGTCTTAGGATCGGGTCGAGGCACTGCGCCTGGCGGGCAGGTGTAGGTCTCGCAGCAGCTCCTTACAGTGGAGACCCATGCCAAGAAGCACTCTGCGTGCCTCCAGGGTGCCCTGGGTCTCTTGGTTTCGATGGTTTAGCAATGGAAGGCGTGACGTTCCCACGCCAAAAACCAATGGACGTCCTGGGGTCTCAGGGTTGGGTCTCATGTGGAAGGCTTCTTGTGGACGGGCCCCCACTGTACCTCATACGCAGCGGGCGTTCCAGCTCCACAGATACAGGCGGCGGTCAGCGGAGGAGCAGGTCAAAAAGACCTCCAGTGCTGGGCGCGACGCCAACCTGGAGCACGAGCTGAGTTTCTAGCTGGTCATCGGTGGCAGGGAGAACATCGAGATGGTGGAGGAGAAGATGGCAGCAGCAGCGGTGGTCTTGGCTGAAGTGGAGATGGCCAGCAGAGCCACGGCGTCTGCCATGAACGAGGATGTCAACGGGGCACCAGGGAGCGGAGAAACAAGAGGGCCACAGTCCACTGCGCCGCCATTCTTCGAGCTCAGGTGGGGGCCCTCCCTTCTAAAACTTAGACGACCTTGAGGGGGTTGAGCAGGCAGAGAAGTACAGCCTATCGGGCATCAGCCCAGACAGCTAGAGACCTAGTTCGCGGAGAGGTGTGACGCCATCAAGGAGAGAATGGACAGCACGAACAGTACACAGTGCCATGAGGAGGCTCGCTGGGAGGCGCTGCTGTCCTTCCACGCGCGCTTCGGGGACCAGCACCGGAAGCAGCGCAACCCTCCTGCAGCTGGATTTCCTCATTCCAGGTGCTGGAGCTTTTCAACATACCAGATCATCGGCTTGGTCTATGACGAGTTCGCAGGGGGTGAATGGTCAGGCACAAGTGCGCCTCGACCTTGGCTCACTCCTGGGGCTCCCCCAGCTGTTCGACGGGGGGTTGGGATTCGACGATGTTGGAGGTATCCAGTGCCTCATCTACTATTTCGGAGGCTGGCAGCTCATTGGTTTTCGGAGGTCACTGGGACCGCCACATCTTCGAGTCCTTCGGCCAGTTCTTCTTCGCCACCCGATGCCACGGCAAATGCTGCACGTGTGACTGCCAGGAAGGTTCGAGCAGTGACACACGAGTTGAATCAACAAACGTGGCACAATGTCGTCGAGCATCGCGTTTGCGCGCGCCTTCTGGGCATGTGTCCGGACACATGTTGGCTTTCATATTTCTAACAGGGCTCATGTCGATTCCTCCGATTCAAATCGTTTCGATTTCGATGGTTTCCAACTCCCATTTTATTCGATTTGGGATTCCGATTCGGGTTCCGATGTTGCATTCCCACTAGCTTGCCGATCTCCCGCTATCCGACTTTTCCCGACTCGGCTGCCGATGTCCGCCGATCCGATTCATGTCGGTCGCCGATCCGACCTATCGATTCGATGTTGGGCTCTCCTGACCAAGAAATGGAGAGGTGACCCTCGTAAGTTGGGCACTGGAATCTTCGCCAATTCAGCTAGACCGAAGGCAGTGCACCTGGCGACGCCTCTCGGGTTCGCTGGGCCAGCGGAGGCGAATGGCTCATGACGTCAGCTGTTAGAGATGCGCGCACTTTGGCTGAGTCGCTGCACGCAGGGCTCTCAGCCAAACCGCACAGCAGCGGATGAGTTCTCTTTCTTCCGTCTCTGCCAATATCCAGGGCTATCGTTCAGCAGCGGCTGGATTCTAAGTGTTGGCTTCCTTTTAGAGTGCGAGGGGCCAGCTTGCTTAGGCATCATGAGCGCGGCGCTCTCGTCAGGTCCTCGCGTCTGCCTCGGGTGATCGTCGGCGACTTCAACATTCAAGCCACCAAGCCACCAAGCTAGCGCGCAGCGCTGTGACGGGCGTTGTGCAGGATGTGACGCTTGTACAGGCAACCACGTTGAGACTCGCGCGGCGAGTGCAGACGGCCCTCACATTGACTACTGCGTTGCGAGTTCAGGTAGCATCCCTAACCTCCTCTCGCCTGCGCCTGTCGTCCAGGACCGTTGGAAGACTCACGTTTTGCTCAAGCTCTGCGCCATGGGATTCTGGCAAGCATCCTTTCCAGGGCCCAGGTGAATTGGCCTGGGCCTGCGCCGACCGTAGTCCCCGCAGCGTCTGAAGCAGATAGGATAAGAGCGGCCAGCAAAGAATATTGAAGGCGGTGCTCAGCAGTTCCAAAAGTATGAGGGTTTTTGATGGGCGTCTCGGGGCGTTTGGAGCTATCGTAAGCGTCCTGGGCCAATCGTTCAGCGATTCGGCACCGCATTAGAACGTCTGAAGTTCTGTCTTGGGGCCGTTTGGGGCCGTCTTGAGCGTACTTGGGGCCGTCTTGGGGCCCGCTTGAAGGCCTCTTGGGTTGCCTTCGGAGCCTCTTGGGGGCCTTTTCGGCCGCCGTGGAGCGTCGGAACATAGAAAAGGCGAGAACGCCCAAATCTTTCACAAAGGAAAGGACAACCACTGATGTTTGCCTCTCGGGGCCCTCTTGGGACGGCTCCTGGGGCGTTTTGGGGCGTCTTGGAGCCATCGGAGGCATCTTGGGCCAATCGCTCAGCGATTCGGGGCCGTGTTGGAACGTCTTTGCGGGCATGGAGCACATAGTTGGAAGCTTCAGAGTCTCCAGCGGTGCTCCAGCGGGCCCAGACCTCCCCCCCCCTCAAACGAGATTTTGGACATTGGGGGAGGGGAAAGGGGAGGGGGACAGCCATCATCTCACACGTCTTATCGCCCCCCTAGCAAGCAAAGGTCGGCGGATACAAACGTAAGATCATTCAGCTACTTGGTACGGTATGAATGGTAACGAAGACATAATGGTCTGTCCACGTTGGACAGGATTCGCTGTCGGTGCTTCCGCGGACGCTACCCATTTGAGACAGAAGGTTGCCTGCCCATCAGCGGCCGTTGTCGGTTTGACAACATGTGCTCTTGCTGTTGGGCATAGTGCGCATTGTCTCCGTTCTGGCGTCCAAATGGGCGCCTCCAGCGCAGGGCGACACCGGGAAAACTAGTGGCACGCATTGCAGCCGATTCGCTCCCCATGCCCCGACAGCAGCCTCCAGAGGCCCCTGGGGCCCCCAGGGGTCTTGAGCGAGGTCCCCGGAGGCCTCTGGAGGCACAGCGGAGAGCTCCGGAAGCGTCCCTGCAAAGGAGGGCCCAGGAGCGCCCATGTGATGCTCCGAACCTCCTCAGGCATCCGACGTCTGTTTGCTCGTCGAAGATCTGGGCACGCTGCTCGGACCTCACTCCCCGCTGGTCGGCTCCCTGGCTGCAGGGGGCCCAGCGTTCCCCCCTGGCCGTCGTGCGCGCCCGCGGCGGCGCCTCGCGCGCGCGCGGCAGCCATGTCCGAGGAGCTCGGCCACCCCGCCCTCTGCAGGGGTGGTGCCGCCCCGAGTCTCAGAAGCTGGGCGGGGGCTAGCAGATCCGTGGCTGCCAAAACGGTTCCCCAGGAAGGAAAAACAAATGCAAGCTCCCAGAAGAAAACGCAGCGCACTAGCGATAGTAAGCGGGCTGGTTCCCGGAAGAAACAAAACATGTCCTGGAGTTCCTTTTTAGCAGCCACGGGTTTGCCAGCCTTCGCCTGGCTTGTGAGGGTCGGCACGCCGCCCTCGGGGAGAGCACATCGGAGCGCTGCTGCCGAAGCGACGCCAGGCGTCCAGACAAGAGAGAGGGAGTACCGCGCTGACTGACGGGCTACAGTTCAATCTGGCACGCCTCTCTACATGAGGGATTTTCAAACATGATTTTCATAACTAGTCTGAGGACGATTGTTTCGACTATGTTTGGTCCTGTTGGGGTATTGTTTGATCTTTTTCTTGTTCCTCAAAAATCGCCTGTAGGGGGACATGCCCGACCTAAGGCTACAGTCAACCCGAATAGCAAGGTTGGGCAATGTTCCCAAGGCTGCCACTGCAGCCTTGCCTCCCCTCGGCCCATCCTTGGCCACTTCTGTGGGCCGCGCCACGCTTGAAAAGCTTCGACGTGGCCTCCCAAGGCCTCTTGTATCCTTACCGCGCAGCCTTACTGTACGGGTTGACAGCACCCACGACAGCCTGGCGTGCCATGGGCACTCTCTTGGCATCGCTCGGACGTGTGCATTTTTCCTTCGGCGAGGACACTCGAGGAGCATCCTTGCTCACTTGGCGAAAAAAAACACGCACGAGACCGAATAATGCACGGGAAATGGACGTCCGAGCGACGGCAAGCTCTCGCTTCCCGAGCTCCGGCCCAACGCGCTGAGGTCCATAGGTGTCGGGGCAGAGCCGCGGCCGGCGTTTCGTTCCTGGCCTCCCGCCGCGGGGCCCGCGCGGATCGATCCGGCTCGAGGAGCGGTGCCCAACGACTGAGTCGGGGGGGGGGGCACACTGGCGGGGTGCATCAAAGGGCGCGTCCCCCCCCCTCCCTCCCCTCCCTCCCCCTCCCTCCTCCTCCTGCTCCTCCTCCTCCTCCTTCTCCTCCTCCTCCTCCTCCTCCTCCTCCTCCTCCCTCCCTCCCCTCCTCCACCTCCTCCCTCCCCCAGACGAAGCCTCCCACGGCGTTGCGCCCCTGTCGTGGCGTCGGAGCACCCCATCACGTCGGCGCAGAGGGCTCCAGGGGGGCCCCTGGGGCGGCGCGAAAAGCCAAGGCCGCCTTGGGGCCAGGGCCCTCTGACGACACCGGGCCGCGTCAAAGGGGCTCAAGAGACGGGGGTCAATCCAAACGGGGGTCAGCCAGAGCGCCGAATCTTGCAGGATCTTGCAGGGCCAGGGGTGCACTGACCCGGGCTCGGGTGCAGGATCCTGCAGGAGCTTGCAGGACCCTGCAAGGCCCATTGACCCGGCTTTGGATTGACCCGTGTCAGTAGATCCCCGAAGTTCCCGCGCCGGCGCGCCAGGAGGGGAAGAGTCGGGCGTTGCTAGAAGGGCCCCTGGCCCAAGGTGCCCCCAGGATTTCCAAGGAGGCCACAGAAGCCTCCAGGGCACCCCTCGCGAGGCCCAGAGGGCCCAGCAAGCTGGGAGCAGCAAGCTGGGAGCAGCAAGCTGGCAGCACCTCTGGCAACGCCCGACGGGAGAGGGGCAAGGACTGAGAGCCTTTCTGAGATGCCTTTGTAGAGCCCCCCGATGTTGTTGTTATATATATATATATATATATATATATATATATATATTCGAAAAAAGAAAACAACATGGCATAAACCTAAATGTTCGGAGGTCCGCGCTGATTTCTTGGATCTGCGCTGGGCCTCCGTGGTGGCGCCTCCGGCGCCGCCCCTGGCGCGGCAGGGCGGGGGGCCCGGCGCGGATCCAGGGAGCCCGAGCGGACCTCCGAGAGCTGCTGTGCATGATGCAGCGCCTTCTTCTGGAGAGGCCCCATGGCCCTATTCTGAGGATTCCCCCCCCCTCCGACCACGCCCTTCTCCGCCCTGCCCGCAGCATGAGGGTGTCGCTGCGTGTCCTTCTTCGCCCGGGCAGCCCCGCGTGCTCGAGTGGCTCGAGGATTCAAGCTCGAGGTCTTCCGTCGGGGGAACTTGGCAGGATCGGAGAAGGTGCACAGCGGCTGTACTCCGATCTGGGCAGAGAAAGATTGTGTGTGCGTGCGTGCGTGCGTGCGTGCATGCATGTGTGCTTGCGTGTGGGCGTGTTTCGGCTACCATCGGCACACGTTCGTTGATAACCAGCTTAGCACACTCCGCTGACGCCCTCGGCCCCGCCGAGCTCGACCAGCTGGCCGCGGAATGAAAAGAGTTCGGGCACATGTGTGTATGTTTGCGTGCATATGTCTGTGTCTGTGTCTGTGTCTGTGTCTGTGTTTGTGTCTGTCTGTGTGCCTGTGTCTGTGTCTGTGTGTCTGTGTGTGGAGGGGGGAGGGGTAGTCATCGGGTCAGCCCTCGCGAGGGCGCGCAGGCAACCGCTCGCCGCGCAAAGCGGGGCCGCGATGCGCAAAGCCGGTTGACCGATGCGCCATGCGAGGGCTGAGCGCGTCGTTGCGCAGCGCGGCCGCGAAGAATCCCGTGAAGAGGCCGATCCAGGTTAGCGCTTTTGATTTCCCAGGCGATCGCGGGATGCCACCTGGAGGGGGAGGGGGGGGAGAACGGCACGGGGCACGTAATGTCACGTGTCGCGTTGGCGCTGCTTGGGAATGTCCAGGCATAACTACAGCCAGCTCGGAGGTCATCACGAATCGTGCTTCTTCTTCGTCGTATTATTGATATGATTAGTCGCAGTAGTGGTAGTAGTAGTAGTAGTAGTAGCAGTATTGGTAGTAGTAGTCGTAGTCGTAGTCGTACTCGTCGTCGTCGTAGTAGTAGTAGTAGTCGTCGTCGTAGCAGCAGCAGCAGCAGCAGTAATAGTAGTAGTAGTAGTAGTAGTAGTAGTAGTAGTAACAGTAGTAGTAGTAGTAGTAGTAGTAGTAGTAGTAGTAGTAGTAGTACTAGTAGTAGTAGTAGTAGTAGTAGTAGTAGTAGTAGTAGTACAGTAGTAGTACTAGTACGATTACTAGTATAGTAGTAGTAGTAGTAGTAGTAGTTGTAGTAGTAGTAGTAGTAGTAGTAGTGGTAGCAGTAGTAGTAGTAGTATAGTAGTAGTAGTATTAGTAGTAGTAGTAGTAGTAGTAGTAGTCGGTGGTAGTAGTAGTAGTAGTAGTAGTAGTAGCAGTAGTAGTAGCAGTAGCAGTGAATGTAGTAGTAGTAGTAGTAGTAGTCGCAGTCGTAGTAGCAGTAGTAGTAGTAGCCGTCGTCGCCGTAGTAGTAGTAGTAGTAGTAGTAGTAGTAGTAGTAGTAGTAGTAGTATAGTAGTAGTAGTAGTGTAGTAGTAAGTAGTAGTAGTAGCAGCAATAGCCGTAGTAGTCGTAGTCGTAGTCGTAGTCGTAGTCGTAGTAGTAGTACTAGTATTAGTAATAGTAGTTGTAGTAGTAGTATAGTAGTAGTAGTAGTAGCAGTAGTAGTAGTAGTAGTAGTAGTAGTAGTAGTAGTAGTAGTAGTAGGTAGTAGTAGTAGTAGTAGTAGTAGTAGTAGTAGTAGTAGTAGTAGTAGTAGTAGTAGTAGTAGTAGTAGTAGTAGTAGTGTCAGTAGCAGTAACAGTCGTAGTCGTAGTCGCAGTAGTAGTGGTTTTAGTAGTAGTAGTAGTAGTAGTAGTAGTAGTAGTAGTAGTAGTAGTAGTCGTAGTAGTCGTAGCAGTCGTAGTAGTAGTCGTAGTAGTAGTAGTAGTAGTAGTAGTAGTAGTAGTATGTGTCTTAGTCGTAGCCGTAGTAGTAGCAACTGCAGCAGCAATATTATTATTATGAGTATTATCATTAGTATTAGTAGTAGTATGAGTAGTAGTAGTAGTAGTAGTAGTAGTAGTAGTAGTAGTAGTAATCGTATATGTGTAGTCCTAGTAGTTGTACTAGTAGTAGAAAAGTAATGGTAGTGTTCGTGAATGTAGGTGCAGGGTTCCGGCAATGGTGGCTCCTTGGACCATGCATGGGCGATACACATGTGATTGCTGTGCCCGGCGGGGGAAAGAATTGAAGCTCCCCGCCTGCACCCCTGCGCGAGACTTGAAACGAAGCAAGGGGTCGGGGGGCTAGGAGAGGCGAGGGAGGCAACGCGCGCTGAGGGCGCAAGAAGAGAAGGTTGGAATAATCGATGGCGGCGAGGTGAGTGTCAAACTCTGCTCAGCCAGTCCGACATGCGGAACACTGCGCATCAGTTCGGGGGATCTTGAAGGCCAGGGCAAGATGTCCATTCACACTGTGGGGGAAAAACAAAATATGCATTCACATGTTGGGACAAAGGGAGATGCGAATTCAAATGTTGAAAAAAAAAGGAAAATGCGAACTCTCATTCTGGAATGTATTCTCGGATTCTTCATGAAGGGGTCAGAAAGTGTTTTCAAATTTCGGGAGAACGGAAAAATGTGAGTTCATTGTTTGGGGGAGGGGAAAATACGATTTCACATGTTGGGAGAATGGCGGGACCCGCTCCAAATCTGCCCGAGGGTTCGACAAGACATTGTTTGGGAACATACGCGTTCATCGATCGCACAATCAAGACACACTTCCAGTCCACATCGCCGCCCCACGCGCGATATGCAAGAACGCCTGCAAGCGTGAATGACAATGGATGGACGGCGCGTTTGCCCGCGCGGGCAACGCGCGGGCACGAACGATTGGCCTTTATATGACCGCCAACATTGGATGTCAATGATACCCAATCGTATACATTAAGGATAGATCAAGCACACATGGCCCATTCATCCCACATTGCAGACCCCTGTTGCGGACCGCTTCGTTCCATTAGGAGTATTAATTATATGATTCTGTTTACCACGTCCATCTTTAAGGATTACGAGTGGTACTTATACTTATCGTATTGCTACGGCTCGTATGTTTCATTCGTATATGTTAGTATGGTGAGTTTGGTTTGTTTGGTTTCTAAGTATCACGTGTTGCTTATTATTATTGTCATTGTGTTTATTAATGCTCTTAACTGTCTTATTATGTTTCTTCTTTGTGGTGTCCTCCCCTGCGATCGGCCCCTCCGTTCTTCTGCCATTTCTCCCCTCTCTACCCAGGCGTCGGGGCCCTGGCACGCCTCCCGGGTCTCTGGCCGTTGCTCTGTGTTTGTGGGTTTGGGGAGTTCGACGCCGCTACAGCCGGACCGAGGTCGGCTCGGGAAGGGTACCATGATGTCATTGCGTGTTCGCTGGATGCTCTTGTGCATCCAGGGGGGCGGAGTACCCTGGATGTTCCGTGCGTTCTGGCCAGCGGAGGTCTCATGTTCTTGAAGGATAAGCTCTTCTTTCCCAGGTCCGACTGTAGTGGCCGCGCTGCAAAAAATCACCTCCCTTATGCTGGGCCCGAGAGGAAGGGAGGCGGACGGGGTGGGCCGCGGCCTTTCCAGGAGCCGCTGCGGCGGCTTTACGACATGGTGTGGTTGCAGGAGGTGTGCGGCGAGGGGGTGGCCGTGCCATTCACCACGGGTTCTCGCTGGGATGAGGAGGAGGAGGAGGAGAAGGAGGAAATGAGAATGAGGTTCCGTCTATTAGTGGGGGGTTCTAAAGGCCTAGTCGGGTTAATGATTTAGGCCTCCCACATGGGGTCATTGCAGATGGGGACGGGGGATCGCGCCGCATCGCCGATGCGCAGGCGATGCGGCTCGATGTGGAGCCGATGTTCTACATGCCGACGTCGCCGATGCATCGCCAATGCATCAGTGATGCATCTGCGATGCGGCGCAATCCTCCGATCCCGTCTAGTCCAGCACCACACCTGTGAGGACAAAAGGTGCCGGGCTTGGCTGGGACGAGGAAAAATCCATTCCAGAACGTTCTGGAACGTTTTGAGAACGTTCTGAGAGCGTTCCGGAATGGAACGCTCTGAGAAGGCCGCGGAGCCCGAAGCATCTTCCAGAGTTGCCGGATGTCAGAGATTCTCGATTTATTCTCACCTGAGTGTATCCTCGTAATGGTTTCGTCTTGAGCGGGTAGTTATTGTTTTCCTGCGTGGGCACCTGGAGGTCTGGACCACCCTGCCCAGGACAGGCTCTTGACGCCGAATCGGTTTTGAATGGCCCAAATGAGTCTCCAGGTGCCCAAGGTGGCGAAGAATCGGCCGCCCTAGTGTTTAGGTCTGCTGGGTTCCTCCAGCCTCTGGGGCTCTCTGTTTACGGAGAACCCCGCAATTGCGGGCAAGAGTGAAGGAGCGGGCGCGGTGTGGGTCGCGGGTGGGTTGCAGATGGATCGCGTGGTGGATCGCGGGGTGGGTCTTGGGGCGGATCGCATGGAGGATGCCGGCCACACCAGCAACAATCATAGTAATATGTTTCGTCGTTTTATTTGCTCGTGTGTCATTCAACACACATACATATGTATACATCTCACATACCCTCGATACCCACCCTCTTCGTCTTCGATCGTACCCCTTTGGTTGGCATATCCTCCTTATCTGCCACGTGTAGTTGACGCAGCCCCAAGTCAGGGGAAATGAGGAAGCAGGGAAGGGACAAGGTGGAAGGAGACGGATGAAGCACGAGAGAGATTAGCAGGAGGGCGGTTAGGAATAGGAAACCAAGCGGCAGAACCAGACGGGCGGGTCGGTCGGGTGGGCGGACCTTCACGGGCGGGTCGGGTGGGCGGGCCCAGATGTCCAGGTTGAGCGGGCGGGTCGTTGAAGTATCAGTCGTGCATGAATCGCGAGGAAATCTCGAGCGATAGCTTGGTTGTACGTAGTTGCATGAGTGGGTTTGCTCTGCCCTATGTTCATGTTGACGCCACGCCGAGAGTACGCACTACATCACCTAAATCGAAGATCAGATCGTTTGAATTGGATCTTCAGCCATTCGGCACTTCCAGCATGTCAGCTGCTTGTGCTGTTGTCGCCATGCCAGACCCGTCGTCGATGTACCCCTTGTCTTCGCGTATGTGTTCCCGCCGGTAGGTAGATATCGACATTGACACTTGCACAGCTTAAGCTGACGGCAGCCAGGTAAGACTTCGTCCTTCGTCACTTCTCGTGAATGCCGATGGCTTGATGTACTCCCCTCTCAGGGGGGGGGGCGTGCCCATGTCGGGGGGGCGGGTTGCATCCTGCTCACCTCAACGAGCATGCTGATATGAAGTGTTGCCTTTGTGGACAGTGCGGGGCCGCAGCTGGGAAGCAGCTGCGATGGTTGGTCCGGCCCTGCCCCGACGTCCTCGCTCCCACCGGGCACAGCACACCCTGACCGAGCCGACGCAGGTTGGCCCCGAGAGCTCGGCCAAGGCCGGGAGGTTGGCCCGCCATCGTTCGGCACTGGCATCTCAAGCAGTGGCGAATCGTCCTGGCTCGCCTATAGCCCTACCAAACAATGTTCTGAGAACCTTTTGTGATTGTCACGAAATGTTATTAGAACAGTTCTGGTTGAGGCGGTCTTGTTTTAACACATCGGGTTAGTGGTGTAAGAACATTGTTTTTGTTCTTAGAACATGTTTGGGTCCTAAGAACATTTCGTGGCAGGACTATAGGAATGCCGGCACGGTCGGTCCCTGCTCAAGCATCGGCCTTGGTTCTGATTCCTTATTCTTGTTCCCTCCCCCTCCCCCTCCCTCCCCTCCCCCTCCCCCTCCCCCCTCCCCTCCCCCTCTCCCTCCCTCCCCCTCTCCCTCCCTCCCTCCTGGAGAGGCTCCATGGTGGACGACTCCACGGCCACGGCGTCGAGCTGCTTCCTGGTCGGCGTCGCAGGCCCCCTTGTGGATGCCGAGCGGAGGGGCAGCACGGCGCCCGTGCGAGGGCACGAGCACTGGGGCAGGCGGGGGGGCTGTGGGTCCCAAAGCGGTGCGGTGACGGACCGTGCGGCGGCCTCGGGATCCCCAGCGACCTCACCGCACGGTCCGTCGCCGCGCCGCTTGGGCATCCTTGAGGCCCCCCGGTTGCCCGAGGCACCTTCGGAGAAGGACCCCGGTCTCGTCACTATGCGGTCCCACCGAAACTCGGCTGACCACGCGGTGGGGTCACCGCACCGTTTTGGGGCTTCCGAAGCTGAGGAGGCGGAAGGGCGAAATCGGAGGTTAGGTGTTCGTTTGGGGGTCCTCCCGATGGCCCACCCAACGATTCTGTTCGGCTCTAGTTCGACTTCAGCTCGACTCAAGGTCGACTAGAGTTCGACTCAATTCGACGAGCATTCGACGCAGCATCGACGCATGAGTGGAGCAAGTGGCTCTGGGAAGGCTCCCAGAACGAGCATCTAACTTCGGCGTTCAGGAGGGAGTGAGGGCGTAGGTGTGGGTGGGACGTGTTCGTTGCTTCTGGAGTTTTTCTCGCCCCCGGGATGCTTTTCAGCAGCTGCGCCTCGTTGAAGATTTTCCAGGGGTCACGAGATCGTCCCGAACGGTCGTCAAAGGCCCGAGCTACGACCCGAAAACCGCCAGGCGTTGAAGATAGGGGTCAGGGCTACGGTAGAGCGGATGCCATGGCCAGGCGTTCTCCACGATGTCACTGCCCCTTCTTGGATTCTGTTGACAGGCTCCCCCCGCCCAACACCCGTTCGCGTAACATGGCTCGGGCTATGGCGTTTCCTCGCTTTTCTTCTTGTCCCCCCGTCTTCGGCGCACCCGATAGCTCGGATGCAACTCCTGGGAGATCAAATTCTGGTTTCGCCCTGGTCCGAAATCCGGCTGAATCCAGCTTAATCCCGCTTACTCCGGCTTAATCCCGCTTAGTCCAGCTTAATCCTGCTTAGTCCGAGGCCCACTCCGGCGTAACAGCTCCCAAATGGGGCTTGATCCTTCTTAACCTTTCCGACGACGACCTCCCGGCAGTTGCCCCCTAACGATCGGAGGGGGAGGAGGGGAAGGAGGGGAAGGAGGAGGAGGGGGAGAAGGGGAGGAGGAGGAGGAGGAGGAGGAGGGAGGAGGAGGAGGAAAAGCGAGGACAACGAGGGAAGCGTGGCGTGCGTGCTCGGAGGCAGCGTCTCCGTCGAGCTGCCGCCTCGGCGGGCTGCTGTGTCACAGGCTGCCGCCGGCTCGGGGCGGGGGAGTGCCCTCGCCTCTCCGCGCGGCGTGGAGCTGGCGCTCCCGGGCGGGCACGCGCCTTCGGCAGATGGCCGGAGGCTGCGTGCAGCTTCCCATGGTCGCAGGCCTAGAGATTGACACCAACACCAATTTCGGCGGTGTGCCTCCACCGAGGGAAGAAGATCCCGATCTCGGTGATGGTGGTAATATTCTGGCTTCCAAGGTGGCCGAACTGTTACCACCAACACCGAAAATCTAGGATCACCTTCCCCCTGTGGAGGCAACCCCCTGTCTTGGTGTTGGTGCCAATTTCCAGGCCTTCGACATGGTGATCCCAGCGCTAAAATCGGCGGTGGACAGAACCCCCACCCTGACGCGTCGATTTTTGTGGATTGTCCGTTGTCGGTTCTCGAGAGGGCGCCGCGGCCGTCATTGTCCAGGCCTGCGTCCGCCAGGTTTGGGCCCGACGTCGTTTTCACGAAACCACGTTTTGCTAAAGGGGCTTCTGTCCATCCCCGAAAAAAAGCCCTCTGCCTCAAACCCCCTCGAGCTGTGGGATAGAGAGAGAGGTACCCGCGCCGCAAGCGCTTCTGCTGCAAGCCCTGGCGTGTATCAGGAGGGAAAAACAATTAATCTTCGATCCCCCCAGAAAATATGGGAAAATATGGGAAGTGGGGGGGAAGACAAAACCTAGAAAATATGTAAAAATATGGGGAATATTGTTATTTGTGTGTATTTATTTGTGTGTCCTGGGGCCCCTTCAGTGTAGCCTCCCCGCGCGTCGGCCCCGCCCGCAGCCCGCCTCCCCGCGCCGCGTCTGATGCTGTGAGAGCGTCACAGTCGCAGGCGCGGGCTGCCCGGAGTTGTTGACGCCGCCTGGGCCACAGGTCGGAGGCGGCAAAGAGGGGGGTGATGACCAGGGGGGGCGAGTACCATGGGGCCGCGAAGCGTGCGAGGGATGTGCCGAAACGAGTGCGACGGCGCCATGCGAACCCTTCCATTGGGGCATCCGGTGGAGCTCCATATGTGGCCACGAAACGTTTGAGGATTGTTTCGAATGGGGCCATCAAGCGTGTGAGGGGTGTGCTGGAATGGGTGCGGCGCTGCCACGCGAGCCTTCTTGCTTGGGCTTTCGGTAGAGCTCCCCGTGGGGCCACAACTCGCGCGAGGTGTGTCGGAATGGGCGTGGCGGTGCCATGCGAACCTTCCCAGAGGGGCCTTCACTGGGGCTCCCTACGGGACCACGTCACGTATGACGGCTGCGCCGAAATGCGTGCATCGGCGCCACGCGACCATCCTAGTGTGGCCTTCGGTTGAGTTGGCTATGCGCCACGAAGCGTGTCAGGGGTGTGCCGACATGTGACTGATGATGGTGATCGTGATGATGTCAATGCCGATGCGGCTGATGAATTTGGTGATGCAGGTGATGATGATGATGATGATGATGATGATGATGATGATGATGATGCTGGTGGCAACGCTAATGAGAACACGATGATGGATGAATATGACGATGACGAAGAGGAGGGATAATGGGGGGAGGAGGAAGCAAGGAAGGAACGTGGGAAACATGGGGCGGTGCTGATGAAAAGCGAGGACCCAGCACCACAGGACGGCTGCTGACAAACCAAACACTCTCGCCGTGGTCTCTCCACGACGCGGGGTGAGTCTGGGCCTGCCAGCGCTCTCGGGCCCCGCCCCGAGGCGCCATCGCCGCCGCCGCGGTGTTCCAGGCGAAGCCGCTGCCCCTGCGCTTCCGGCGGGCCCCCCGGGGGAGGGCGCGCGAGCTCCGCGGGTAGGGGGGGGGGCGAGGACGCGAGGGGGGGGCGGCAGGAGGAGCCCGATGGGCGCGGCCGGGCCGCACGGGAGCTTGATGGACGCCTGCTCGCTCGTTCGATCGCTCGCTCGCTCGTTCGATCGCTCGCTCGCTCGTATCGCTCCTCCTCGTGGACGCTCGCTCCTTCGATCGTTCGATCGCTCGCTCGATCGTTCGATCGTTAGCCCTTTCCTTATGAATGATAGCTCCTCCCTGTCGCGACCGCGCACGTGTTGGCAGGGCGGGCTTTGCGATTTTCGCTTGGGATCTCGTCACCACAATTTCTGATGTCGAAGCTCGAAACTTGCAACACTTTCACGGATTGAGGGCGAGCCAATTTTGAAACGTGTTTACCGCTTCAGCCACGCGCACATGCGTATTACAAGTTTGCAGCAGTTTCAGGTATGCAAGGGGACCGTTCTCAAAATGTGACGGGAGCGACGGCGCTGAAGCCAGCGACGCGCGATGTCATCGCTGCGGCTGGGCTTAGGTGGCCCTTGGGGTCGACGACCCTCTCCAGCCCACCATCCGTTTGATCGCCTAGCTATCCAAAGCCTGCTCAGGCCCTCCGCCACCCCAGCCGCACCCCGCCCAGCTCGAGTTAGGGACCAGAAGGTGCCACGCATCTCACGAGCTCCAATTCTATGAACCCTATTGGGTATGTCTCAAGTGCGGAAGTCGCGCGTTGCAGGGCCGCAGACATTGAAGAGGTCTGCCAGAAGAATGCAAATGCCTGAATGGAGAGCCGCCCTCGAGCACGGGCGCCTGGGCCATTTCTCGTTTGCAGGCTGGGAGGAGGCCACGCAGATGAAGTCCTCGTGGTGGGGGCCCGTGCTCGGGCCCCTCGGGCCCTCGGGGGCCCTCGCCTGGCGGGTGGCGCGTGCCTGGCCTTCGGGCCCTGCCTGACGAGGGCTCCTGGGGGAACGCCTGGGCCGTGGCCCAGATCCCCCTCTTCCTCCTCCTCCTCCTCCTCCTCTCTCCCTCCTCCTCCTCCTCCTCCTCCTCCTCCTCCTCCTCCTCCTCCTCCCCCCCCTCCTCCTCCTCCTCCTCCTCCTCCTCCTCCTCCTCCTCCTAGGTGGCTCCGCAGCGGGCCGCGCGACGCCGCAGCATTTTGCCCCGCGGCCGCCGCGGCCCGTGCCATTGCAGAGCCCCCAGCGCCGACGGCGCGCTGCCCGAGCGGACCCACGAGGTCACGCTCCCCCGCCTGGCACAGGCGCCACCGCAGGCGCAGGAGCCAGGCCCGCCAGGAGCTCCAGCTGGTGAACGCTCGCCTCCTCCTGAACCTCCACCACGGCAGTATGGCACCGACCCAGTGGACGACGTGCAAACATTGCAAAATGTGGTGGTGGATATCTCAGATGGAGTCGCGAGACTACTGGTGCACCTGCGGTTGCCGAGTTGCTAGGCCCAGGGGTGTCACGACGAAGGGCGACAGCAACGCGGGCAAGGGCAAGGGCAAGGGCAAGGGCAAGGACAAGGACAAGGACAAGCAGTACGGTTCGGACGGTGCCACGGGCTACGAACAGCAGGGCTTCGCGCAGATCGCCACGGCCTTGCAGACGAGGACGAGCTCCCTGGACACCCTCCAGATCGAGAACAAAGACGGCATCGCCAAGCAGCTTACGAGTGTGGCCACGGCACTTCAAGCAGCGGCGAGTTCCCCAGCTCAGGTTCCTAAGTCCCGAGCACTTCGGTTGGCAGAAGCAGCAAGGAACCTCGAGGACGCGAACAAAAAGTACAAATGGGCGTTCGATGCAAAGCACGCAGCGGACGAGAAGGCGAAGAAGGCAACTGAGCTGCTCACGGCCAGAGCGGACGACGTCCTGAATGCGGAGAAGGAAATAGAGATGATCCAGCAGGAGGGCAAGGAGAAGCCGAAGAGCATCTTCGACCAGCTGCTGAACGCGGACACGGAGCTGATCCAACCATCGGAGATCGAGATCGCCGAGGTCGAGGCTCACTTCCAGTACGACGAGGACATGGACGAAGAGGGAAAGCGGCAAGTGGAATTAGCGAAGAAGCAAGTCCTGGAGCAGCTTCGGCAGACGGCATCAACCTTCAGGGGCCAGCTGAAAGACCACTTGCAGCAGGCGAAAGAGAAAGCACAGCAGGAGCGCGCCACGATCACCCAGGCCTACAAGAAGCGGAAGGCGGGCTCAGATGAAACGACGAAGGAGGCGCAGGCAGCTCCAGCAGAGGCCCCAGCACCAGCAGCAGCATCCACACCTGCAGGCGAGCCCGACGACATCCCCGTCGACGGAGCAGACGCCTACCTGGAGCAGCGCAGGAGGGCGGAGGCGGCAGCTGGCGACAGCGGTGGGACAAGCGCTGGCTCAGGCCAGCACTAGGGTTCCACCGCGGAGGGGCAGGCGACCCGTTGGCGACGCCGAGCCCCTGGGCCGCGCGATCTTTTTTCGCCAACATATCAACATGGGGACCTGCGGCCAAGAGTTGGATCCGACGCGACGGGCTTCGACAACCTTATGATGCTTATGCGCTTCAGGAAACACACTTGGCACAGGCACAATTCAATGACGTGGAATACGAGCTGCAGAAATCTGGGTTCTCAGCATTGTTCACGGCAGCCAGGCAGAGCGAGAAGAGCCAGAAGGGGACCCACGGTGGCACAGCTGTCATCACCAAGGGCCACCTGAAGGCTACCTCTTTCCGCCACATGGCACGGGCAGGCACGACCTCGAGTGCGACTACTCACCAAGGGCCGTGTGACATAGACATGATCGACTGGACGCCAGTCACGCCCCATTTGAAGGGCACCTCGCTGCTCACCATCTCCCTCTACTTAGATCCGAACGCCTCACTCGTCGACGGGGTAAACGCCAGGAAGTTGACCTCGCTCGCGGCATTCCTCCACACTACCTCCATGCCGTGGATCATCTGCGGTGGCTTCAATTGCGAGTTCGACGCGCTTGAGAAGTCAGGGTGGCCGACGGCACTGGGCGCAACAGGTGTGGTCCAAGTGCCAGAGGGCCAGAACACGTGCTTCCTAGGCGACGCGACCCCCTCGAACATAGACTACGCCCTGGTCAACCCTGGAGGCCAGAGACTTGTTCGAGGTATACGCGCTGTTCACGATGTTCCTTGGAAACCACACGTGGGGCTGGTTATTACAATAAAGGCAGCAGTGCAAGCGAACGAATGCAGAAGATTATGTATGCCGAAAGCTTTTCCCCACCCCAGGCTGCCGAAGAAGACCAACCCCAACAGCAAAACAGCAAAGAAGAAGAAGAAAGCAGCGCTACCAGTCCTGGACGAATCAGACAACCCCTCCGATGACGTACCAGCCGAGACCGACACGATGAGATGGGAAGCCCTTGGGCCAGACGGGTGGAAGCGAAACCAGACTGGAGCGATAGAAGACGTTGAGACCAGTGAATCAGTCCCAAGACAAGTCGCACAAATGGACATCGAGGACATAGACCCCTTCGACGACCTGGATGCGGACCTTATCAGCTCGGACAGCGACATGCTCATCCCAGAGGATGTCGAAGGGACTTGGGACACACCAGTGGCGATGGATACTACACAAAAGGCGGCGACTGAGACCGTGAACGACCCAAATGCAGCCACGACCAACTCGTCGGACCTGTCGAAGGAAATCCAAGGGACTACCTCACAGACGATAGAGCAGCGGATCGCGGACAAAGCAGCAGGGGTGGACACCACAATCATGGACGACACTTGGGAAGTGGCAGCACAACTACAGGCCTTGGAGTCAACTGACACGGCCCCCGAGTACATAAAGCAGAGTGCAGCATACAAGACCGACCCGAACGGAGCCGAACGACTAGGACGGCAATATCAACAGTTCATCGGCACTCTGGAGAAATTCTATTGCATGGCTTACAAAGTGGACTTGGCAGACAGATCAGTATTTTGCGGACGTGGACACCCGCATGAATTCAAGACAGCGCCGCTGAAAGAAAAAGGAGACCGACGGGCGCGATGCGCATCACATCGCACAGACTGGTGGAACAGGGCCGACACAGTGCTGAGCACGCTGGTCAAATTACAAGAACGCGGACGAGGCCTCCAACAACAAGAAGCACTAGCCAGCGCAGGGCGACGCCTCGCACGGGAAGGACTGCCACCAGTTGGGAAGGGAGCCTCGCACACCGCCATGCTCCACCAGCAGATATGGGCAGAGCGTGTGGCAGCGCTTGAAAAGGTACCACTGGACATACTTCAGGGCATGGCAGTACAAGCAGCACACGAGAAGCGGATAGCCATCAAGCAAGACATGCGGGACAGCAGCAAGCAGTACAGTCTATGGTTGGCGCAAGCAGAGAAGACCATCGGTGTTCTGCATCGGATCACTAAGCCGCCACCTGGACATGAGCATGAGATACATACTGTAAGCGGCACCGTATGCAGCCCGAAGGATATGGTCGACCAGAAAGCTGTTGATTTTCAAAAGATATGGGCATGCGAACAAGTACCACATACTTCACATGAAGGTTACTTGAAAGAACTCAGGCGAGCTGCGCGGGAAGACGATGATCACGACCCCTGGACCATCGAGGACCTGATCAGGTGCTTGAATGGCGAACCCGACAAGGGAAAGGGGGTGGACATGATCTGCCCGACGGACCTGAGAAGATTACCCACCGCAGGGAAGCAGACTCTTATCAGCCTACTCAATCAATGTGAGCGGGATCTTACCTGGCCGTGGCAGTTGTTGCTCTCAGTGGTGATGGTTATGCCGAAACCAAGCAAAGGAGATAGAGCACTTGCATTGATACCTCAATTGTTTCGGTGCTGGAAACTACTGCACAGAAACAGAGTACGGCAATGGGCGCGAGAGCATGAGAGAGAATGGGATGCGGCAATCGCAGGCAACAGCTGCTTGAGGGAAGCGCTCAGGAGACTCATCACGGACGAGTGCGCAGACGCGTTGGATATATGGGAAACGGTATTGCTGGCAG